TGGTATTGGATGCTTGAGATGAGTTTTACCGAAGATCATCCATATAGTGAAGTTGGTAGGTACAAGGGTAAACTCTGTGAACTGACTGCTAAGTGTAGAGAGAACTGAAATAAAAACCACAGTGTGCTCTCTTGGGCCAACGTTGACCGAATGACACAGCAACTAGCAGAATAATGTGCCTTCCGGTCTCTCTACAACTTCCTTCTTCCCCCGAATACAATGTACATCGTACGGTAATTTATAGCTGTATTTGGGATATCTTTTAGTCTAAAATTCCTCTAAATACAGTTATAATGACCGTGGGTTATATTCTTGGGAAGATGGTAGCCTAGACTACTCTGCCAGCTTGGAGTCAGATGCCGTATGGTGCAAATCTGTTCCCACCAACGTCTAATCAGAGAATGTAGAATGCTGGAGCAGTCTTGACAATGACCACCCAGGTTAACCACTCTCCTCCCCCTTCCTAGCGTTTCTGCTGTGCCCAAGGACCTCATCTTCCCTAGCAGTACCCTTCCCTCCCCTCCCCTTCCTTTCTCCCTCTCTGTGCGTCAGAAGCTAGCACCAGCTGTGGCTGCCACAGCTCTCCTCCTCCCCGTGCTGCTGCATGGCGATGTCTCCTGGCTGCCTGGGTGCTAGCGCAATGGCTCAGCGCTCATGCAGCCTTCCCGTACTTGGTAAGCCAAATGTGTCTGGCTGCTGACCGGCCTCCTCTGTATACAAAAGGCCAAGCTCCATAGCAGGTTGGTCTGGTGGCCCTGGCTGGCGTCTGGAAGTATCTGGATTGCAGCAACCCAGGCGTACCCGTCCCAGCAACCTTAACCGCAGCTGGGCATTTCGGAATATCAGGTCAGAGCACCCTGAATTAGGGCCTAACAATCCCAGGTACGTCCCGAGTACCTTGTTGCCCTCACATAAGGGTGGATTACCTTCTTCCCCTGAATACATCACGCGGTCATTATAGCTGTATTTAGACTGAAAGATACGCTATAATGACCGTACGTTGTATTCGGGGGAAGAAGGTATTTAGTGTCAAAAGTTGCATAACTTCGAAGTCGTAATCAAATAACTTTTCGGTGACTGTCCTTCGGGACGTCCGTTAAAATCGGAATGATGCAGTGAAAGTAGATTAGCATGGCCCCTGCGCTTTCAAGGGTGACACACATAAATCAAGAAATGGTCCAAATTAAAAATAAAAATAAAAAAATGGTGACTAAGTGGTCAAGGTCTACCGACAATCAATAGAGGCACTCGGCGCCCCCCACTAATTTAGGAGGAAAATGAAAACTACAGTCATAGACTTGAGGGCAGGGGTCATTGCTCTCTACCCTACCTGAATGTCCTGCATGCAAGGAAAGTGATGCTACGAAGATAGCACATAAGTCTATAGACGCATGGAGTTGACCTCAGAGCACGTGGGCCGTTGGTTTGATTCGTTCTATCATTTCTATGTGATGGTTATGGTTATGTCCACAGGGGAGGATTCCATCATTGCTGCGGTTATAGCGGTGGTGGCTTCTGTGTATATGCTGACATTTCCTTGAGCATTCACTTCGCTTTCGAGAAGCTCAACATTGAAAGGTGACTACGTCAACTCTGCAGAATTTCTGTAAACCTTGGGATCAAGCCTCTTCGACTAGAGAAACAAATCCTTTGCTAAATGCTCTTCAAGTTAAGACTTCAACTGAAAAAAAGAATGTTATGTTATCCATCCGGCTTTGAAGGTTTGAATTTTGAACCCTTGGTCTGTTTATCAACAGTTACTTGCTTGTCGTTAAGCCACAAGGGGCACATACAGGGTCTCTGCAACTCGTAATCCTTTTCCGGTCCCTCTATCATGTGCATGCACACAAGCACACCTTCTCTCAATCCTGTGTCTGCGTGCGTTTCCTCTCTCCCCTTCTTCCAGGACTTTTGCTATGGTTGCTTAAGTTGTATGATCCAACAAACATCCGGATTGCACGAAAAAAAAACAAAAAAAAACACATGGCAGCCCATGTGGTGCAGTAGTATACGCATGAATTACCCCCCAGTAAACAGATCACAAGTTGGAGTCCAGATGGGATTTTGATGCAGTACTACTGTCTTCACCCGAATAGAACGCCCGGTCATAATGACTGTATTTGGTGCAACTTTCAGTCCAGGTACGGCAAACAATAATTACTGGAGGTTCTGTTTGGGTGAAGACAGTAGTCAGCTGCGACCCTCACTTTGAAAACGAAGTGGTTGCTGGTTATACAGGCCTGTCCTGTATAGTACTTGGGGCTAAGTACCGGCAGCCAGCCTTTGTGTGAAGAAGGGTAGGGCGATTCTGTTTACTCTTAACTACAGTGATTTTGATTCCCTCTCATCTCCCATCTCAGGCCTAGAATGGTAAATTCTGTATGGATAGTATTTGGATACTATGATTATGAATTTAATATTTATTATGTTATGAAACTTATGGTCGTATTATAATATTGTTATTGTTATTATTATTATTTTCAGTAATACAAGAAACAAAACAGCTTTTACTCTGAGGGGCATCAGTCAGGTTACTTATCACCCGCAAGCAAGCATAGTTCCACAGCACAGAAGGGGAAACATTGCAGATTCAAGAGCTGCCTTACCCTTGCGGGCCTAGGCACCTGTCCAAGGGGGAGCCTGCCACGGCCCAACCGTGTACCCGATCCGGAGCCTTCTTCAGGGGCTCCCCTGTTGATCGGGAAGCTTACTGGCAGCACCCAGGCACGCAGCAGGGGAGTCCCAAGAAGGACAGAGCGAGGGGGGGGGGGGCTCGCCATTGTCTCACAGGCCCTATCCATCGTCTCATCCATCGTCTCATCCATCGTCTCATCCATCGTCTCATCCATCGTCTCATCCATCGTCTCATGTCAAAATATTCATGAGCTTGCACTCGTATGTCTCAGCACCATCCTTTAAATCACCATCTCCCAGGTTTAACGGGTATCCCATTTCAGCCTCAGTCTAGATTCTAAAGCCTCTGGTTATATGTACCCACGGTAACTCACTCCCAGCCAAGCCTATCTCTGCATCTCTGTAGTATTGTTTCCCCCCCCCCCCCCCCCTTCGAGGCCGATGTTTATCTTCTCTGTGTCGTACCAACTGACCTAGGTCAGTTGGCACACTTAAAAATATTGCAATGCTGAATTTCCTAGGGCCGGTCAGTTCAAAGTTCAAACTTCAAATGATGATATCTGAACTTCTGTAAGACCGTTGCTCTGTTTTCTTTTTTTATCGGAAAAAAAAAAGCATCTGTGTATTGTTCCAATTTTAAGGTTGTCGCGATTGAATGACTCTGTGGCTTCTGTTCCAGGCCGTTAGTGTAACAAAAATTTGTTTACCTCATCGTGAGCTAGAACGACATATCTATTGATGTCACATTTCGCCATCCAGTTTTAGGATTTCTGCATCGAAGTGGTTGGCCAGCTATGTTATGCATGACTTGCTGGAACCCGGGCCAAGGTCCCAGCTACCACGATTCTCTCTGTTTTTGGTCGTTCACGCTGAACTCCTAGAACCGCAGAATCAGAGTGCGTGGCTTATTTTATGCTTCACATTCTACAGAGTTGTCTTATGTTTTGCTTGCTGGGACCTGGGCAAGGTCACAGTTTCATGGACACTCTGTTGGAACGTGGGACAAGGTCCCATTTACGTGTATTCTCGGTTGGGACCTGGGGCATGGTCCCAGTTACATGGAAGACTCTGTTGGAGCCTGGGCCAGGGTCCCAGTTACGTGGATTCTCTGTTGGGACCCTGGGCAAGGGCCCAGTTACGCAGATCCTCTGTTTCTAGCCGTTGATCCTTGAAATCAACTGAGGAATCTGTGAGCTGAACCTCGGCCCTGATGCGTAGTCTCTCCTTGTTTTGAATCGATTTGTGCCGTTGGTTCTGACAAGGAGGAGATAAAAATGAAATGCTGATGGAGGATTTATGTAATGTAAGGTTTGGTTCAAGTTCCCCTTCTATGTAGGGATATCTGTTGGGTGGAGAAGAGGATTACAGAAACTGAACAAGGTATTGAAACAGAATCGAAACAGGTATTGATTTCCTTCTCCAGTTTTTTATACTCCTTGGCATAAGATGTTGTTGGGGTGACGGCTTGTGTCATTGTTCTTCGCAGAGTGATGATTATCGACCTAGATGCTCATCAAGGCAATGGACATGAACGTGATTTTGATGGTGATGGTGAGTGGTAGAGTAATCGTCCCCACTCTCACTCAATCCTCCTCCTCCGGTCTCTTCTTTCCTCGTCCCTACCCGTCTTTGTACTCGTCTCTCTCTCTCTCTCTCTCTCTCTCTCTCTCTCTCTCTCTCTCTCTCTCTCTCTCTCTCTCTCTCTCTCTCCTTGTCCTGTTCTCTCCTTCTCTTTTCTGTCATGTTTCCACGAGTCTTCTCGACTCTTCTTGTCTTGTCCTCTCTCTCCTTCTCTTTTGTTTCAAAACTGGAGGGAGCACTATCACAAGCATCAACCGAGGGCAAGAACTGTGGAATCAGGATTGATCGGCCAACTTGGATGAGTTACAACTTGTGGATTCGGCCAACTTGGATGAGTTACAACTTGTGGATTAGTTGTCTTTCTTCGGTCCTTGTTCGTGCTTTGTTTGGTCCTTGCTCTGACAAGGGAGTCTCCCCTCTGGTGGTGAAGTGCTACAGACCGACAGTTGTTGATATTGAGATCAAGAGTCCAAACTCCAACAAGATTGCTTACTGTTATGATGCTAGCTTGTTCTGAAGGGAAAAAAAAAAAAGCAGAAAAGGGGATTGGACCGAACCTCTGCTCACTCTGCATGTTTTTTCCTTCTTCCTCTTAGTTCAACTTTATATATATATATATGTTTTGCTGGCTTGTGATGGGGTGTGAACCGACAGTCTGTAGAGTTTTCCATCTGGTGTGGGTGAGTGGTAGTCTACTTTGATTTTGGTTAAGGTAGATTATCATTTACAGTGTAATCAGTGAGGGGATTCTGCAGACTGTTGAGGGTTCAGCCTCCTGATGAGTCGGTGAAACTCCGACGAAACAGTTTGTCACAGCC